GGTGTTGGCAGGGCCACAACTCCTCTAATTTCTAGAGAAGAATCCTTTCTTGCCTTGCCTCTTCTAGCTTCTGATGGAAACTGTTCCTTGGCTTCTTGTAGCCTGCATAACTCCAAACTGTAACTCCGTCTTCATGTTGCTTTCTCCCTGTCTCTCAAATTTCTTTCTGCCTTTTTTTTTTTTGAGACTGAGACTCTATCACCCAGACTGGAATGCAGTGGTACAATCTCAGCTCACTGCAACGTCCGCCTCCAGGGTTCAAGCGATTCTCCTGCTTCAGCCTCCTGAGTAGCTGGAATTACAAGCGCCCACCACCGTGCCCGGCTACTTTTTGTATTTTTAGTAGTGACAGAGTTTTGCCATGTTGGCCACGCTGGTCTCCGTATGCGTGTGGTCAGGCCCGAGGGCCTCTTCCATCCTTGTCAAGGGGAGTGCTAACCTTCTCTCCTTTCATATAACACCATGCTGGTATTAAACTTCTGACCTCAGGTGATCTGCCTGCTTTGGCCTCCCAAAGTGCTGGGATTACAGGTGCGAGCTACCATACCCAGTCTCTGCCTTTCTCTTATAAAGATACCTGCCAGGTGGGCGCAGTGGCTCACGAGGTCAAGCAATCGAGACCATCCTGGCCAACATGGTGAAACCCCGTCTCTACTAAAAATACAAAAAATTAGCTGGGCGTGGTGGCAGGCGCCTGTAATCCCAGGTACTTGGGAGGCTAAGGCAGGGAATTGCTTGAACCTGGGATGCAGAGATTGCAGTGAGCCGAGATGGTGCTATTGCACTCCAGCCTGGGTGATACAGCAACACTCTGTCTCAAAAAAAAAAAAAAAAGATATCTGCCATTGGATTTAGGGACCACTCAGGATCTAGGAGTGTTTCAGTCTGTGAAGTCCTTTTACTTGGGCCTCTGATATTCCAGTAAGACCTAAAAAAGATCATCTGGGCCCGGTGCATTGGCTCACTCCTGTAATCTCAGCACTTTGGGAGGCTGATGCAGATGGATCACTTGAGGTCAGGAGTTTGAAACCTGCTTGGCCAACATGGTGAAATCCCATCTCTACTAAAAATACAAAAATTAGCCTTACCTGTTGGAATACACTTGTAATCCCAGCTACTTAGGAGGCTGAGACATGAGAATTGCTTTAACCCAGGAGGCAGAGGCTGCAGTGAGCCAAGATCATGCCACCACTGTACTCCAGCCAGGGTGACAGAGCAAGACTCTGTCTAAAAGAAAAAAAAAAATTATCTGACCTCTTTTACCCTGTTCTTTTGCTATACTCATGGCTCATAGCCTCAGGGCCATTCATAGCCCAATTAACTTAGCAGATGGCTAGTGAACTCAAGGTTTTACCAGTAGTCATAGGTCTTGGAAGGAAGGAACACTTACTGAATCCGTAATCTGTGCCAAGATTTTCACTTTAATCTCTGCAAAGATGTTATAAATCAGGTCACAGTTTAACCATTTTACAGATGAAGAAACTGGTTACAGAACTTTCATAACTTGCCCAGAGTCACACAGACAGTAAAACATGGCTAGAATTTGTACTGAGATCTCTTGGCTCTGAAGTCTGGTAATACTGTTAACATAGAGGACTGGGTTGCAAGCCCAGGGAAGATGAGTGATCCAGGTCATTGAGTAGAACCCATGCTTCTGTCTCTACTCAAGATCGGGTTTCCCTCTGATAATGGCCATTTAGTGATAAATAACTTATTAGTGGTACAAGAGTGGCACCCAGTGGCTTCAGATAAAACTACAAGACTAAGGATGACAGGTCAGATTCTTTTACCCGTAGGCCATTCTGTTTCCATCTCCAAACAGAAAAGGTAGAATAGCTGACCTCTTGAGTAATAGGAAAGAAAATCATCTACTATATGCTTTATTGAAAAATTGAAAAAAAATGAGGGAATGTGTATGTATTTAGAGTGTTACAGAATAAGAATGGAGAGGGTATAGTTTTTATTTTTTTTAGAGACAGGTTCTCACTATGTTGCCCGGGCTGGAATGCAGTGGCTATTCATAGGTGTGATCATGGTGCACTACAGCCTCAAACTTAAGTGATCCTCCTGTGTCAGCCTCCTGAGTAGCTAGAACTATAGGTGTGCAACACTGCACCTGGCTAGGAGTGGATATTTTAAGTCTGAATGTTGGAACAGAGACAGTGGGCCAGGGAGGAGTGACCAAGATAGTACTCCAGGGTTTAATGTCATAGGTGTGTCGGGGGAGTTAGAACTTAGACCCAGAATGAGCAGTAGTAACAAGGAGGCAATTTTCTAAGGAAAGGCATTGTTTCTGGTGGGCAGGGGGGTAGGGTGGACTAGAAATAAATGTCTTATAGTGTTAAATCCAAGGAGGGGCCGGGCACGGTGGCTCATGCCTGTAATCCCAGCACTTTGGGAGGCCAAGGTGGGTGGATCGCCTGAGATCAGGAGTTCAAGACCAGCCTGGCGAACATGGGGAAACCATCTCTACTAAAAATACAAAAACTAGCTGGGCATGGTGGTGCATGCCTGTAATCCCAGCTACTCTGGAGGCTGAGGAAGAACTGCTTGAACTCATGAGGTGGAGTTTGCAGTGAGCCAAGATCGCGCCACTGCACTCCAGCCTACACTACAGGAGCAAGACTCTATCTCAAAAAAAAAAAAAAAAAAAAAAAGAAAAAAAAATCCAAGGAGGTGTATCTTGAAGTCAGGGCTGTCTTATCTGAGGGACAGATGATGAATGCAGGTCATGCAAGACTCCCACATAGGCCTAGAGCTTTATATTTCCATGTAGGTAATTCCTTGATAAGACCAATTTCAAGATAGGAGAAAGGTTTATCTATTATATGAGATTTCCCAAGCTAAAGCAAGAAAAAAAAGTAGTATCTCTCAAGGAAAAAAAAATGTTTGGGAAATATCCTGTTTCTTTCTTCACATCTTTAGGTTATCTTTGCCCCTTCTATGTTCCTTGAAATGTAATTACTTGGGAACTAAAACTTGTTTTAGTACACAATATATGACAGATGTCTTATAGAGATAATTCATATACCATAAAATTTACCATTTTAAAGAATAAAACTCACTGGCTTTAAGTATATTCACTGTGCCATGCAGCCATCACCAGAAAATTCCAGAACATCTCCATCATGCCATTAGCAGTATCTATTCACAGTGAGTCCCAGTTCCCCTTTTCCTTCAACCCTGCCAACCACTAATATACCTCCCATCTCTATGGATTTGCCTATTCTGGATACTTCATGTAGATGGAACCACACAACATGTGGCCTTTGTGTGACTTTCATTTAGCATGTTCCCAAGGTTCATCTGTGTTATACCATATAACACATAATAATTTCATCCATTTGTATGGCTGAATAATAGTCCATTGTATGGATATACCACATTGTTTATCCATTAATTAGTTGATGAACACAAGCTTTTTCTACTTTTTAGCTATTATGAATATGCTGTTATGAACACTTTTGTGTGGACATGTTTGTAACTCTCATTGTTCATTAATTCGTTGATGAACACAAGCTTTTTCTACTTTTTAGCTATTATGAATATGCTGTTATGAACACTTGTATGGACATGTTTGTAACTCTCAGGTATATATCTAGGAGTAGAATTGCTGAGTCATATAACACTTTAACTTTTTAAAGAACTTTCAAGCCGATTTCCACAGTCTGCACCATTTTACATTCCTGCCAGTACCGTGTGATGGTTCCAATTTCTCTGTACCCTCATGAACAGTTGTCATTGTTTTTATTATTGGCATTCTAGTGCATGTGAAGTAATTTAGAGGTTTTGATTTGCATTTCTTTAATGAATATTGATGCTGAGTATCTTTTCCATGTGCTTATTGGCCATTTGCATATCTTCTTTGAAGAAATGTCTACTCAAATCTTTTGCCTTTTTTTTTTCTTCTGAGATGGAGTCTTGCTCTGTTGCTAGGCTGAAGTGCAGTGGCGCAATCCTGTCTCACTGCATCCTCTGCCTCCTGGGTTCAAACGTTTCTCCTGCCTCAGCCTCCAGAGTAGCTGGGATTACAGACACATACCACCATGCCTGGCTAATTTTTTTATTTTTATAGAGACAGGGTTTCACCATGTTGATCAGGCTGGTCTCGAACTCCTGACCTCGTGATCTGCTCGCCTCAGCCTCCTTCACCCAGGCTGGAGTGCAAATGGCGCAATCTCGGCTCACTGCAACCTCTACCTCCCAGGTTCAAGCAATTCTCCTGCCTTAGCCTCCCAAGTAGCTAGGATTACAGGTGCCCACCACCAAACCTGGCTAATTTTTGTATTTTTAGTAGAGATGGGGTTTCACCATGTTGGCCAGGCTGGCCTCGAACTCCTGACCTCAAGTGATGTGCCGGCCTTGGCCTCCCAAAGTGCTGGGATTACAGGCGCCATACCCAACCACAAATTTTTGAGGAAGTGGATATCTATTTTTATACATTTGTATTCTTGAAAAGGAGCTGGGAGGATTGGGTTCTGGTCACAGTAAGAACCTCTCTGTCCAAAGTATTGGACTAACCATTGTGGCAGGGCTCAAGGCTACAGATGACTGCAGAATATACCCTCTGACTTCCCAGGTTTGACTTTCTCAAATTTACCTTGTGTAAGGGACTCTGCTAGCTATAAAGTGATAGAGGCATGATGATTCTTGCCTTTCAAGGGATTTAAGGTGTAGAAAATGGACATATGCACATTACTTGATGAACAGCCACATAGCATACTTGCAGAATACACAGAGCCTGATGAGTAGAGCGGGCAGTAGGCAAGACACCAGAGTTCAGAGAAGAAAGGATGTGCCGTGAGTAGCCAGAGTGCAGAAGGATCCACAGAGGGAAACCCTGAAGGCTGGAGGCTGGGTATGGGATTCATGAGCCAGGAGGAAGAGGGAATTCCAGGTGAGGGCAGACAGCCTTGTGAGGTGAGCGATAGGCACACTCTTGTTTCACTAGGGCTCGTTCATGTTTCTGCAAAACTCACTTAGGACTTTAATTTTTCAAGCAGCTAATCCTAGAGAAAAAGGACTCAGCTCAGAGCACTGAGGACACACCTGATAACAGCAGCCTGGAGCTCCTAACAGGTAAGGTTTAAGCTTTTCAATTGAGCCCTGGACTGCAGTTAGGGAAGTAAAAAACGAGTTCAAAGTTTCAAACTATTCCACTGTACCTTCTATTACAGCGGTGCCCTTCTGCAATTTAGTTGGCTGTTGCTGCCACTCTGGGTCTTTTTTTTTTTTTTTTTGAGATGGAGTTTCACTCTTGTTCCGCAGGCTGGAGTGCAATGGCGCGATCTCGGCTCACCGCAACCTCCGCCTCCTGGGTCCAGGCAATTCTCCTGCCTCAGCCTCCTGAGTAGCTGGGATTACAGGCATGCGCCACCATGCCCAGCTAATTTTTGTATTTTTAGTAGAGACGGGGTTCCACCATGTTGACCAGGATGGTCTCGATCTCTTGACCTCGTGATCCACCTGCCTCGGCCTCCCAAAGTGCTGGGATTACAGGCGTGAGCCACCGCGCCCGACCACTCTGGGTCTTCAAGGTAGCAGCAGGTAGTCCCTCCCCAGAGATGTGAAGATAGGACTAGAATTTTTAAATACATTCTGTGTAGTTACAGATAGCTGCACATGATGGGGTGAGGGTAGGTAATCCGCAGATTCAGGGCCCTGAATCTAGTTGGTTCCTTCACATCTTTTCTGGAGTACTGGGGTTGATGCTACAGCTCTCCCCATTTTGGTTATTACTACGATTTGGGATCTGGAGGCTGCTCCCGGGTGCAGGCACCATGTCACTCTTAATGTGTGCTATGGGGAAGTGTCAGTGCATGTGTTGTGATGGCAATTATACTGAAGTCTTTTCTCCACACGTCTCCTGCAATACTTAAAACAGCCTTCCCAGCCAACAGCAGCAGGTGTACAGTAGCTGTCACAGTCACTGGCAGAGGTGCCAGGTCCTATTCTGAGCTTTTAAAATGTACTAATGCTCTTAGTTCTCAAAACAATCCTAGGAGCTATAGGTATTGTTATTATTTTCATTTTATATATGAGGAAATTGAGGCCCATGTATATCAATAAACTTACCCAAGGCCACACAGCCAGTAAATGACAGAGCCAGAATTCAAACTCAGGCAGCCTGAGTTTGAATTAGCAGGGATGCCCTCCTACAGATCCTGAGTCCTTCAGATAAAACAGTATCTGGGTCAAGGGAAGCTGGGGATTGTGACTTCAGCACCTATGCTTGGTTGGTAAATCCCTCTTTCTAGGGTCACAGCTACAACACATACACGCTTATGCTTAGGCCTCAGATGTGTCCCTGAATCACTGTCAACTGAACCATGTTTTAAATGTTGTGGGGGCTGTTGCTACTGAAAAGAATCCTGCTGTGAAGCCTTGTACAAAGCAAAGAATCTATTTTTATAAATTTAGATTTGGAGATTTTTAAAAAAATGCAAGTATGATACATACAATTCAGTATTTATGCAGTCACAAGAGACAAAAGAATAAGTACCTTCCTGTAGAAGGAAGAAAATTAATATTTAACTCAGTACCTTCTGTGGACCCTGGGGAGATGCTGGGCTCTTCCACAGACCTTATCTGATTTAGTCCTTACAGTGCCCTTCTGGGGGCGGGGAGAGGGGGGTGGCATGGATCCTCTCTAACAAATGAGAGAACCCAGGCTCAGGTCAGGCATAATGCTTCGCATGAGGTACTGACTTTCAGCTTGCTGCCTCCAAAGCCCATGTTTTCTCCACTGTGCCACATGAGCTTAAAAACTAGGTGTTTATAATCTGGTGGAACCCCTGGAGGATGGCTTGAGCTGCTCTGCCCTACAGATCTGCAGCTCTCATCAGCATCGTCCTATGCCTCACCATGGGCAGCTCTGCTGAGGAAAATCACCGAAGTGTGTACTGATGCTACCATCCATCCATGGTTCAGTCACTCAGAAGCCTTTGGTTTGTCAATCCTTTCCCTTGCCTTTCTGGCCCTTGACCTCAGTGGCTACTCCATTCTTTAAAAAAATCTACCCAGTCTCTGCCTCCTGCTTCAGCAGTAAACTTACCCAACTTGTACCCTCCCACTGTAGAATGTCATCACTGTAGGGACGCATCCGCTCCAGGCTCATGGTGGGCTCGTCCTTCCTGCTTTCTTGGGACCTGCTCGCATCAGTTATCACTTCTGCACCTTCAGCTCTCCCATGAGTTCCCTTCCTTCAGCTGATCAAGCTCTCATTTCACCAGAAGAAAATCTCCCATGAACTTAAACTTCCTCCATCTATCCTCAACCTCTTTCCATCACATCTCAGCCAAAGATCTCAAAACCATAAGCTGCATGCACCCTGTCTTCCTTTCTTCCTCTCATTCTCTCCCTCATAGCGTACTTGCTTTCTCTGTGGCCTCCGAAATTTCTCCCCTTAGGGAAAGTCTCTTACTTACCAAATTTTGCATTTACCTTCATTGTATCTGAACTATGTGCAGAATTTGGCATTGTAAGACTATGACTTGCCTGGTTTTTCCCTCTCTAAGCTTTTCTCTTCACCTACTTTATTCTGGTCATCCCTAAATAGTGCTCATCCTGCTGTCTCCCCAGCTTCCATCTTCCATCCCAGCTGTTGACTACTGCTTCTGGGCTGAAGACTCTCAAATTGGTATGACTAGCCAAGGCCTCTAATGAGTGCCAGATGGGAGATTCATTTGCTCACTAGGCAGCCCCTCGTGGAGGTCCCATTGGTACTTCAGTTTCCTCTCTCCTGACTAAAGTTACTACTTTAGTCTCTGTCATGATTAATAGCACACTATCCAATGTTATCGCATCTGAAATCTTGGATTCATTCAAGTAAGCCTCTCATTCTTTTTTATTTTTTTTGAGACAGAGTCTCACTCTGTTGCTCAGGCTGGAGTGCAGTGGCGCAATCTCGGCTCACTGCAACCTGCACCTCCCAAGTTCAAGTGACTGTCTTGCCCCAGCCTCCTGTGTAGCTGGGATGACAGGTGCCCACCACCATGCCCAGCAAATTTTTTTTTTTTAGACAGAGTCTCGCTGTATCACCAGGCTAGTGTGCAATGGTGCGATTCCCGCTCACTGCAACTTCCATTTTCCAGTTTCAAGAAATTCTGCCTCAGCCTCTGGAGTAGCTGGGACTACAAGCACGCATCACCATGCACTGCTAATTTTTTGTATTTTTAGTAGAGACGGGATTTCACCCTGTTGGCCAGGATGGTCTCGATCTCTTGACCTTGTGATCTGCCTGCCTCAGCCTCCCAAAGTGCTGGGATTACAGGCATGAGCCACAGTACCCGGCCAAATTTTTGTATTTTTAGTACAGATGGGGTTTCACCATGTTGGGCAGGCTGGTCTCAAACTCCTGACCTCAGATGATCCACCTACCTGGGCTTCCCAAAGTGCTGGGATTACAGGCTGAGCCACTGCACCTGGCCAAGAGGCCTCTCATTCTCATGCCCTACATCCAGGTGATCACCAATGCCTATCACTTAGGCCTGATGAGTACTTTTGATTCCTGGTGATGCTGCCATCCCCACTGTCTTCACTTGTCATTGGGCTCTTAAGGTCTTCCAGTCTCTAGTTTGATCTAAGCCACATCTTTGAAAGAATGATCTTTCTTTAGTACAAAATTACCAATATATTTTACCAGCGCTTAAAACTCTTTACTGGCTTCCTATCTCCTACAGATGAAAATCTATTTCTAGACACCTCTTTAGCCCCAGCTACTGGAGAGGCTGAGGCTGGGAGTTCAAAGCTGCAGTGAGCTATGATCGCACCACTGCACTCCGACCTGGGTGACAAGCAAGACCCCAACTTCTTGTTTTTCTTTTTCTTTTGAGAGCCCATCTTTAAAAGACAAAAATTTATGTAGGAGGTTGTTTTATACCTTTGCATAGTTTACTTGCATAACTTTCAGCAGAAAATTCCTTTTCCATCCCTTGTGGTGTTTGGCAATCACTCTTCATCCTTCAAAACCTAGCTCTGGGGTGGAGTGATGGCTTACGCCTGTAGTCCCGTCACTTTGGGAAGCAGGGGCAAGAGGATAGCTTGAGACCAGCCTGGGCAACACAGTGAGACCCCGTCTCTACAAAAGTAAAGAAAACTGGCCGGTGTGGTGGCACGCGTCTGTGGTTCCCGGTACCCCGGAAGCTGCAGCTGAGGCAGTAGGATACTTTGAGCCCAGAAGGTCAAGGTTGCAGTAAGCCGGGACTGTGCCACTGCACTCCAGCCTGGCCAACAGAGCAAGACCTGTCTCAAAAATGCCCAGTTCAGGTATCTCCTCAGGGAAACCTTTCTAAACATCCAGAGGTGGTCGGCTTCCCTCTCTGTTCTCACCTTGGGCTTTGTACACACGTCTGCAACCCTCCTAGCATCTGTGAGCTTCTCTCAGGGAAAAGCTCGTTGATCTGCATCTCCAGGACCTGCTTGGGAAGAATCTATCCATCTAAACTCGCTTTAATTTGACAAATGAATCAGTTAAAAGAGCAGGAAAGCTGCCTATGGGCACTGCCCAATTCAACATGAGCAACAAAAGGAGACAGAACTGAGGCTAGAGAGGTGAGGGGAGACAGAGGCTGGCAGGGAGAGGAACCTGTCAGTGTAGACTCCAGGAAGAATCTGCGTGCAGAAAGTTACTGAGCGGCCTGACCCAAATGAGAGCTGGGGACAATCTCCCGCCCAGGTGAGCGGGAGAATAGGGAGGCCCTGAAACCTCTCTGCAGCCTCGGGCTGCTCCTGAAGCCCCCGGAGCTGCAGGGTTTTGGTGTGGACGGGATTTGCTGACAGGGATGCGGTGGGAAGAGCTCTTCGGCGCCCTTGCTCCCTGTTTCCCCCTGCCCCAAGGGTCTTTCTAGCACAGGACCATGAAAGTAAGAATGAAGGGGGCTTGTTGTTTTCTACTAGATACCAGCGGGCAAGCAGAAAACAAGAGGCTCAAGAGGGGCAGCCCCAGCGTGGAGGATATGCGAACTCTGTACTCTGCCAGGGCCCCAAGCCTGTCAGAGGCTGCCCTAGGCGGCAGGGCCCCCACCGCGGCCCCCCTCACTCCTAGCGGAAGGGAGGCCTGTGAGACTCACAGCAGGGCCCTGGCACCGGGCAGGGCGAGCCTTGGGAACCGCCTGGAGGTAACCGGGCGAGGCCCGCGAGGGAAGGGCGCGGGAGGAGGTGCGGGCCACGGGCCGCTGCCAAGGGGTTCTCACCCTGGACCCCCTTTGTTCCCACAGGACGCGCTGTGGCTGCAGGAGGTCTCCAACCTGTCAGAATGGCTGAGTCCCAGCCCTGGGCCTTGAGCCCGGTTTCCCTCTGCGAGTGTCCGCTGGCCGGGCGCAGCCGCTGTCCGTGGTTTAATAAAACTGCGCCGCGCTTATACCGTCCGCTTCCGCTTCCGCTTCCGCGTCGGGCCGGGCCGGGGCGGGGCCTGGAGCCGCGCCGCGGCCTGACGTCACCCACGCCGCCACGCGGCTGCGTCACTGATGCGCGCCGCGGGTTGGGGCGCGATGGCGGCGCTGGGCGGGGACGGGCTGCGCCTGCTGTCGGTGTCGCGGCCGCAGCGGCCGTCCGAGTCGGCGGCACTGGGCGGTCCGGGCCCCGGACTGTGCTGCTGGGTGTCCGTGTTTTCCTGCCTCAGCCTCGCCTGCTCCTACGTGGGCAGCCTCTACGTCTGGAAGAGCGAACTCCCCAGGTGCGGGGGCTGCGCGCGGCCGGAACCCGCGCCCCCGCGAGGCGGGGGCTGTGGGCGGAGCTTGGGCGAGCCGGGGGCGGGGCCGTACTGATGGGCGCCCGCTGAACTTGCTGTCCCCTCCGTAGGGACCATCCCGCCGTCATCAAGCGGCGCTTCACCAGCGTCCTGGTGGTGTCCAGTCTCTCACCCTTGTGCGTGCTGCTCTGGAGGGAACTCACAGGCATCCAGGTGCGAAGGAGGCGGGGTAAAGGGCAACGAGGGAGAGAGCTCAGGGATCTTTGGGGGAGGAAGCAAGACTGATTCCCCCTTTCCTGTGGCTCAGCCAGGCACATCCCTGCTCACGCTGATGGGCTTCAGGCTGGAGGGCATTTTCCCAGCAGCGTTGCTGCCCCTGCTGCTGACCATGGTGAGTGCTCCAGCTGTATCTTTCCTCCCCTGGTCTTTATCAGCCTGATGCGCGGTGGCCTCTTGATTGTGTTCGGATTTTGGCTGATGGGAGACAGTTTTGAGATGGCCCCAGGGTCCTCCGGTATGCATGGGCTGGAAATCCTGGTTGTGAGGATTTCAAGCTTGGAGCCTCACAGGGACAAGGGCAAAGTTCTGGGCAAAAGCGGTGGGTTATGGTGAAAGTGTTTTCTTTGATGTCTCCTATTTTTTTGTTCTCAGATTCTTTTCCTGGGCCCCCTGATGCAGCTCTCTATGGATTGCCCTTGTGACCTGGCAGATGGGCTGAAGGTTGTCCTGGGTGAGTCTTAAAGGCTGAAGGGAAAAGTAGGCACAGGTAGTCCAGGACAATGGGGGAGGGGGTCAGCGGACTCCTGGTTTCATCTGGACTTGTGGAATGTCATCTTTCTGCGTGTGTTTTCTCATCAGCAAAATGGAAACCATAGAGCTAGGTGACCTATAAGGATGGATTCCCAGTGTCCAAAAAGTCACCTGGGGACCCCCAGCAGTATTTGGTGTGGACCAGAGAGCATTGTCCCCTGCCTCCCCAACCAAGAGCTGGTCTTGTTAAATTTTGGCATCTCTAGAGTTTGCTTCCAGGATGCCCTGCCTCAGCTAATGCCTTCTCTTCAGGGCATCTCAAGACGTTGGGTTTATGTTGTGTCCACACGCCTGTTCTCAGGAGTATTGATGCCTAACCTGAGTTTGGCCAGGGTAAAGTTGTGGGAGAGGAGCCCTTGGGGTCTCTGGGGTCTCATTGTCCCATAGCCAGTCACTCACAGCTTGTCCTGACTTCCCTCTGTAGCCCCCCGCTCCTGGGCCCGCTGCCTCACAGACATGCGTTGGCTGCGGAACCAAGTGATCGCCCCCCTGACAGAGGAGCTGGTGTTCCGGGCCTGTATGCTGCCCATGTTAGCGCCGTGCATGGGCCTGGGCCCTGCTGTGTTCACCTGTCCGCTCTTTTTTGGAGTTGGTAAGTCTGGCTAGCTTGGTACTGGTGTATTCTCAGGATGAGAGCTGAGAACGGGGCTTGAGGTGAGGGTCAGGCATAGGTGGGAGGCTGGAAGGAATGACTGTGATGTGATTGTCACCTTTTTCCCAGCCCATTTTCACCACATTATTGAGCAGCTGCGTTTCCGCCAGAGCAGTGTGGGGAACATCTTCTTGTCTGCTGGTGAGTTCTGGTGAGCTGGCCTGGGTTAGGGTGTGTGATGATGTCCCTAATGGCCACTCTGGAGGAGGAATTGGGAACAGAGGGCTATAGTATTGGAGGGGCCACTGACCATGGGAGTTGGGGTGCAGGACAGCTGTAGGTGGTGGGGCAGACAGTCACTGCCCCCTGGGAGGGGATGGTCGGTCTTTGGCTGATGGGTGTGTAGTGCTGGGGCAGGAAGGACGTGCAGGTGTGGTCACTCGCGGCCTCCCCGTCTCCAGCGTTCCAGTTCTCCTACACAGCTGTCTTCGGTGCCTACACTGCTTTCCTCTTCATCCGTACAGGTTGGTCCTCAGTCTCTCATGGGTCCCTGGGGGCCCACAGGAGTGGGTGGGAGAATGGGGAATACTGTTTGTTCTAGGAACAAGTTCTTCTACTGCAGTCCTTGAGATAGGCTGAACCAGGGCCCTCAGCTTGGTGAGGTCTGAGAGGTGGAAAGGAACAGAGGCCATGGTGTGTGGGTGGATGGCTAGGGTGGTGGGATCTTGATGATCTGTTTCAGGGGATGAGGGTCACTAGCCCTGGAAGGGCCAGAGGTGGTGGTAGGGCTGCTCCCTGAGCTGCTATCTCCTCTCCCCAGGACACCTGATTGGGCCGGTTCTCTGCCACTCCTTCTGCAATTACATGGGTTTCCCTGCTGTTTGCGCGGCCTTGGAGCACCCCCAGAGGCGGCCCCTGCTGGCAGGCTATGCCCTGGGTGTGGGACTCTTCCTGCTTCTGCTCCAGCCCCTCACGGACCCCAAGCTCTACGGCAGCCTTCCCCTTTGTGTGCTTTTGGAGCGGGCAGGGGACTCAGAGGCCCCCCTGTGCTCCTGACCTACGCTCCGGGATACACTATGAACTCTCACTGGCTCCCCAGCCCTCCCCACCAAAGGGTACTGCAGGGGAGGGACTGGCTGGGGTCCCCGAGATCTCAGGAATTTTTGTAGGGGATTGAAGCCAGAGCTAGTTGAATCCCAGGGACCAAGAGAAAGGAGCAGATATCCAAAGGGTGCAACCCCTCTTGAAAGGGGTGTTTACGAGCAGCTGTGAGTGAGGGGACAAGGGGCAGGTCCCAGGAGCCACACACTCCCTTCCTCACTCTGGACTGCTGCTTCTCTTAGCTCCTCTGCCTCTGAAAAGCTGCTCGGGGGTTTTTTATTTATAAAACCTCTACCCACCCCCACCCCCAACTTCCTGGGTTTTCTCATCTTTTTGCATCAGGACTTTGTATTGGGATATTAAAGAGATTTAACTTGGGTAACATGGCCTTGGACTTTTGGAATTGGTCTGTTTGGGATCTTGTGTTAGGGGTGCAGGCAGCTCTTGGGAGTATGCCCACCACTTATCCTAGCTACCTTGAATGCTGACCTTGGGGTAGTGTATCCTGGCAGGTGGTTCCCTGGAGTTGGGGATAGGCTGGGAGCTCTGGCTGCTGGGGCCCTGTGGCTTCCTCCTTCCTGAACCATGCCCCAAAGTCCTAGTGTAGGTAGGTCTGAGACTGCAAGTACCAGGTGTGAGCCCAGCTCATCCTGGGGCCTGTGCCTTGGCTACCAGGCTCAGGAAGTGGGAGCCCTGGCCCTGGCTTGAGCGTTGGAGCCTCTGGCCTGTCTCCTGTGGGGTGAGGATGATTGGCCTGAAGCCTCTGCCAGGACCTCCACAGTCTGCCAGCCTTGTTTTTCACAAGAGGAAACAGGTTCAGAATGGGAGAGGAACCTACCTCTGAACCACCAGTAGAGGCTTTTCTGGTTCTTTCCACCTTGGACCTCTGCCCCAGAGGAACCTAGAACGAAGGCTGCTGCCCTGGGGATGGCAGGGACTTTGCCAAGCAATACGGTGACTCCAGGGTCCTTCTCAGAACCTGCTAGTATTCTGCCGGCTCTCCATTGTCTTTGGAAGGGTTCTCATTTCCCTGTCTGTACCTTTAAAACTAGATTCTTGAAAGAGTATTAGCCCTGGATCACTTGAGGTCAGGAGGAGTTCGACACCAACCAGCCTGACCACCATGGTGAAACCCATCTCTACTAAAAATACAAAAACTGCCAGGTGTGGTGGCTCACGCCTGTAATCCTAGCACTTTGGGAAGCTGAGGTGGATCGCCTGAGGTCAGGAGTTCAAGACCAGCCTGGCCATCATGGTGAAACCCCATCTTAAAAAAAAAAATTATTAAAAAAAAAAACAAAACTTAGCCAGTCATGGTGGCAGGTGCCTGTCATCCCAGCTACTTGGGAGGCTGAGGCAGGAGAACTGCTTGAACCCATGAGGCAGAGGTTGCAGTGAGCCAAGATCGCTCCATTGCACTACAGCTGGGCAACAGGAGACTCTGTCTCGGTGGGGGTGGGGGGTGGGCATTAGCCCTTTAAGTTCTATTATAGGCTTAATTTAAGGAGGTTGTCCCAAGTCCCCTTCCCTGAGGCTGAGGGAAAGAAAAGGGATGTGCAGTCACTCCCTTATGATGCCTGCAGGCTGGCTGTGACTCACCGACCATTCATAGTCACACATCTGCCTCCTGGGGCACATTTGGGACCTCAAGGTCCAGAAAGGAAGAGGCCCAAACCCACTGTGACTTGCCCACCCCAAAGGTTAGGACTGGCACTGGGAGCACTGGGCAGAGGGCTGCTGGGTGCTGGGGATGTACTACCTGCTAGGGTCAGGGGCTCTGGGCCCTGCCCACCTCTTCCTTTCCAAAGGCTGGTGTTTCCTGCATTAGCTTCCCCACCCCCTCCTTCTCAGGAACTGGCCAGCCTCTACCCCTGCCCCCCACCATTCTCCTCCTACCTGCGGGCAGGAGGGCAGTGGTACAGGCAGGGTTACTGTCCCCGCTGCAGGAAAGGGAACTGGAGGGCTGGTCATGGGGAGCGACAGGGTTAAAACCCGAGACCCTGGACTCCTCCTCACCTCCCGCCAACATCCTCACGTCCAAAGTGCACACGAGACTCTGCTGGATCACCATTCCCAAGGGTCTCACCCACTGCCCAGAAGGTGGTACCTGCTTGCATTTACCTGCAAACTGATGTGGGAGGCCTCGGGTTTTAGAAAATAAAACAGTGGGGCTGGGAGGCGAGTCTGCCAAGGGCCTGGGTTTCATCCCTCTCTTACTAGTTGTGGAGTCCTGGACAAATTATGTAATCTTCCTGTGACTTGATTTCTGTGTCCATAAGAGGATGAAGATTAATTCCTTGAGTTAATAGGTGTTAAGTACTTAGAATAAGCCCCGCCTCTCCAGCAAGCTCAGTACTAGTCCTGTTTGGGGAGTATACGCAGTAGGCACCCAATAGTGACTTAAAATAGGGCCACGATGTCATCCTCAATACCTTCTGAGGAGGAAGACACACCTGACCTGCCTACCCACAGGGAGCTTGAGACGCAAACCCCACTGCTGAATGGTACAGGCTGGGGCTGTACTAAGCATGGGGGTGCTGCACTGGATCCAACATGGAGGGCAGGGAAAGCCAGTTTTATTGAGCAAACTTCCCAGGACCTGGGACATCTTAGAGCCCCCCTTCCCCCAGGAGATAGGACCCCCTAAACCTCCCCTGGGTCCTAGGACCACCTGACCCACCATGTGTAGTCTCCAGTGAGAAGGTGTCCCTTATTTGGCAAGAGATGATGAACATGTGAGCCGCTGTTGGCCAGGGGAAAGGATAGATGATGGCTGAGAGGAATGAGCCGCCGCAGGCAGTGTCTCCAGTCCAGCTGTGGAGGACCTCCATGGCCCAGCCTTCCTGGCATCAGGCACTGGCTGGCCTGGGCCTGCCGTGGCAGCACAGTTTCTGTTGAAAGCTTGGGGACGGCCAGGGTGCTAGCCTGGGGCAAGATCACTCGATCTCCAGGATGAGGTCGTCACCTTCCAGTGTCATGTCCTTGGTCACATGGACCTTGCGGACAGTGCCCTCCATGGGTGAGGTCACCACAGTCTCCATCTTCATGGCACTGAGCACACACAGGGGCTGGCCCTTGGCCACCTTGGCCCCTGCCGCCACTTTGATGTCTATTACCTTCCCAGGCATGGGCGCCCCAATCTGGCCCTTCACATCCTTCAGGGCCTTGGGGTGGAAGTGCATCTCCTGCAGACACAGGGCAGAAGGGACATGAGATCCTGGGCCCAGCCAAGCCCCACCACCCAGGTATTGGCCCTGGGGGAGACAATACCTTTATGGCTTGGGTGTCCTTGACCAGGATGGACCGCAGTTGTCCATTGAGCTCAAAAAAGACCTGCCTCTGGCCAGCCCGGTTCAGGTCGCTCACGGCCAGGGCTTTGATGTGCAGTGTCTTGCCCCGCTCCAGCTCCACCTGCAGGGAGGGTTTGCAGACTCAGGACTGGAGGGCAAACTGGGAGAGCAGTCCCCCCACCCTGGCCCCAGGAAGTCCCCACACTGGGCCTTGGCTCCTTGTTCTTAAAGGCCTGGCTCCCAGTCTCAAGGGTCCTTTCTGCTCCCACAGTTCCAAGGCTGGGGGACAGCCAAGCTAAACTCTGGAGCTCTGGGGCAGGGGGCCAGGGTGGAGTGTGGACAAGCACCAGAGCCACTGACCTCAAACTCCTCTGCGATCTTGGGTCCCTGCAGGAAGAGGCGAGTATTGAGGCTATCCAGGGGGCCAAAAGTGGCAGTAAAATCCTTGAAGTGGGTGAAGACATCGGGGTACATAGCTGCTGAGAGCACATCTTCCGGGGTCACTTCCTCCCCATGCCGCTCCACCAGCTCCTTCTCCAGTGCCTGCAGATCCAGGGGAGGGAGGGAGGCTCCAGGCCGCCCCTCCACCCTCGGCAGGTCCTTCAGTACCTGGGGAGCAAAGTGGAGGATCAGGCCTGATTCCTGCATCCAGCCCACACCCTCATGTCATGCTGGGACTTCCCTACCTTGGAGCGAAAGGGTTCAGGGAACCCCCCATGGGGGACACCAATGTAACCCTGCAGGAACTCCACCACGGAGCGAGGGAAGGACAACTCTTCTGCTTGAGCTTCGGCCTCTGCTCGGCTCAATCCATTCTGCACCATAAACTGGGCCAGGTCCCCCACGATCTTGGAGGAGGGTGTCACCTGAGAAGGCCCTGGAGGTTAGGGTGCCAGGCACCTTGGGGAGGCTCAGCGACAGGTACACGCATGGCTGGGGCAGGCAGGAGCCCTGGGCCGGGATTACCTTGATGAGGTCACCCAGCATCTGGTTGGCCTCCACGTAGGCCTTCTTGACTTCCTTGAACTTGGAGCCGAGCCCCATGCTGTGGGCTTGGAAGTGCAGGTTGGTGTACTGGCCCCCTGGGATCTCATTCTCATACACGTCGGAGTTGCCAGACTTCATGGTGGCCGTGCAGTCAAAGGCCGCGTACAGTCCCCGAGCTCCCTCCCAGTACTCACTGTAGTCAAACACGCGCTCCAGGGGCACCTCTGCAGGGAGGCCAGAGTCAGAGAATGTCTTACAAATGTGCTGACTCCAGGACCCAGAGCTAGCTCAGGTCCCATCTCTGACTCAGGTCAGGTGGTGGCAAGGCCAGAGCAGTGCACCTGGATTCTAGGCAGGCCCAACACGGACTGGTGGTGGCTGCGGCTTTGAGAGGGGCGTGACCACAGGCTGCCATTCTTCCTACCTGTGTCTAGGGGAGTCCCTCTGGTACAGGCCACCAGGGCCCCCATGCTGGGCTGTGAAGTCATCCCAGACATGGAATCTGCTGCCACATCCACCACATCAGCTCCAGCCTGGGCACAAGCCAGCATGGCTGCCACGCCTGCCCCTGATGTGTCATGGGTATGGATGTGCAGTGGGAGGTCAGGGAAGCGGTCCCGGAGGGAGCTGACCAGCATGGTGCAGGCTGCCGGCTTCAGCAGCCCAGCCATGTCCTAGGGTAAGTGGGAGAGAGAGAGAGATGGTAGAGGGGCAGGATGTGTGCCTGTGATGGGGGACAGGGCCGAGGCAGAGAGGGAGAGATGGGCAAGTGGCCCAGGCACCTTGATGCACAGGATGTGGGTGCCAGCCCGCACCAGCTCTTCGGCCAAGCCCATGTAGTACTGCAGTGAGTACTTGGTGCGGCTCGGGTCAGCCACGTCACCAGTATATGAGATGGCAGCCTCCACCACACCACCGGCACTTCCTGCTGCCTCCATGCCCAGCAGCATGTTGGGCAAGTAGTTGAGAGAGTCAAACACGCGGAAGACATCCATGCCATTCTCTTTGGCCACCTCACAGAACCTGAGGGTGAGAAAGCCCAGGGCTGAGCCCTACCCCACCTCCCTCTGAACAGTCTTCCCTGGCTCCTGCCTCACCCACTCTGCTGACCCTGGGAAATGAGATCTGGGGGTCTGGCCTGGCCGGGGTTGTGGCATCCACAGGTGGGAGCTGTGCAAACAAGTGTGGACCAGGCCTTGGAGGATCAGCTGGTGCAGTGGCAGGCCGTGGGAGAGGGCACTGAGCAAGGAGTCCCGAGGCCTGGGTTCCAGTCCCAGTCCTGCACCCAGTGACCTGGGCCATGCCTCAGGCCTTGCACTGCCACAGGAGTGAGGGGTAATTTAGAAGCCTGTCCAGTTCCATGCTTCCCGATACTTCCAAACAGTAGCCCCTGCTGTGTGTGGCCGCAGAGAGACTTGGTGTTAGGCCCACCTTGGGGAACAGAGGCCATCACGACATGGCTCAGTACCCTCTGGACCACACCAGGTAGTGTCTGCCCACCCCACCCCAGGCTCACTTGAAGACTACGTTGTCAGGGTAATTGGTGTAGCCCACAGCATTGGCCCCCCGCAGCAGCATCTGGAAAGGGATGTTGGGGATGAGCTCCCGAAGCTCCTGCAGCCGCCGCCAGGGGCACTCATAAAGGAAGCGCATGGCGACATCAAACGTGGCTCCTGCACAGGAACCGAGAGGCCCAGGTGAGCTCTGTGTGTCTGGGGGACCCCACCAGGCCTTGCAGCTAGCTCTGCAGCCCAAGCCTCTGGCCCCAATACCAGGTCCTGCCCATCCTCATGGTGCCTGTGTTCCCTGCTCCAGCCCCCACAGATGTTTCCCTTGGCTGATCTCTCAGGGGCAGACCTGAGACCAGGCTCATTTATGTCCCTTCTATGCCCCTTTATAATCCCATCTTCTCTGTCTCTCTGTGTTATAATTAACTAAGAGGAATGTGTCTCCTCCTGACCCTGAGCCTCCCAGGATGCACCTGGCCTCAGCTCAGCAACCTCATGCCAGCACCAGGCCTGGCCGGAGAGGACGCTGTGCCTTCTTCAGTTCGTCCTCTTTGTTCTTCGTGTTAGCTTGTCCCCAGTGGCCTAATCCTTCGGGACTGGTAAGACAGTGGGCACCCAATTCCTGCCAGGCACTGCCCAACATGCCAGCCTACCTCCCCAGTTCTCCATGCTGAAGAGCTTGCTGAAGTTGTGGGCAACATAGGGGGCGATCTTTTTGAGATCGTGGGTGCGCACACGAGTGGCCAGCAGAGACTGGTGGGCATCCCTGAAGGTCGTGTCCATCAGCAGCAGCCCCGGGTGGTTCCGCACAGCTCGAGCAAAACCCTCAGGCCCCTCTCGTAGCAGGATGTCTCTGAAACCAGCTGGGGGCGGGCCTAGGGCAGACAGGGACATTGGTGCCCATCCTGCAGGATGCAGATGGCATCCTGTCTTCCCCATGAGTTGACAGAATGGATCTCACCTACCTATGGGCACTGCAGGGACAATGGGGTCCGTGGGGCTGGGGCTGGCTTTGACAGGAATCGGGGTGGTTGGGCCGTTTACCATGACATGGCCTGGGGAGAGAGCAGGCAGTGGGTAAGGGTGGGCTGGGTAGAGGCTGAGTCGAGGGCAGCAGTGAGAGTAGGTGGGTTTGGGGACAAGGACACATCCCTCCAGGATCCCTGGGCTTCTAGCTGGCCCTTGTCCTCTCCAAAGCGAGGGCCTCCTGGATCCAGGCAGTGGGGACCTCTTGATGGAAAAGCAGGGGGACTCTCAGATCAGGAGCAAGGAGGGTGGTGAATGGGGGGTGAGGGACAAAAGGAGGCAGGTCCAGAATGAGGGCAGGGTTGAGGGGCAGGGGGTACTGGGAAGTTCTTTGGTCTTGGGGAGTGGCAAGGAGGTAGGAGGAAGCAATTAGGGAGGGGAAAGCAGGGGAGGGGAGTGCAGTCTCAGGCCAGACCGAGATAGTGCAATAGCTTCTGGGCCCGGTTCTGCGCAGGCCGCAGCTGGAACAGCTCTGGGTTCTCATCAATGAACTGGGTGTCCACGGTGCCGGCCAGGAACTGCTGGTTGTTGAGCACGTTCTGCAGGAAGGGGATGTTGGTCTGCAGGACAGAGGCGGGTGGGAGGGCATCACCATGCAGCATAGACAGGGAAGGGAGAAGAGAAGAGGCTAGAGGTGCCCCCCCGGGGCCACCCCCAACTCTGGCAGAGCCCCCTAAGCTGTCAGGGGCTGGGTCTGCTCCTTCCATCCTTGTTTACCCCAAAGCGTGTGCTGAAGGCCACGCCTCCTGCCTCCCTGAAGCCTAGAATAGGGCTCAGCCTTTCCTCCAGCAGCATGGCCCACAGCAGCCACCCTCGCCCCCCTGCCCACGCTTGTCTAAAGAGGGCCCTGTCTGCAACAGACCACGCTCTGGCATGCTTACCAAGTCACTCCTCCCAGCGGAGTCCAGCGGGCACACTCCCACCTTGCTGCTCTCTCCCTGGACTTCTAAGCCTTCTTGCATTCCTGTCCCTTTCCTCCCTGGCTCCTCACACACCACATGCTCCCCAGGTGGCCCCAGCCCAGGGCTGTGTCGCCAGTGACAGTGATCCCAGCACTTGGGGTTTGCCTCCAGGGCCGAGATCCAGAGATGCAGCTGCCTCCCAAGCCTCTCCTGGTTCACCCCTCATGAAAGTTCAGCAAGTCCACAACCAGCTTCCTGCCTGTGCACCCAGTCCTCCTGTGCCCAGTGGGTGCCCCACTGTCCCCCCAGTTACCAAAAGCATCCATCATCCTCACCACCCACTCCTCCCACGACACTGGACCAGAGGATTCGACCAGGGCCATTTCTGGACCTCGTGACCTCTTCTCCATCTCCAGGCCACACCCTCCACCACCTTCCTCATCACTGCTGCCTCCAGCCACATCAAACTTGCCTTGTGCTCCACATCTTTGCACCTGCCTGGGACATTCTTCCTGAACATCTGAACTCAAAGGCCTTCGTCCTGTCCTCATATCCTCAGCTGACCTTTCTAGCAGGCCCTGGAGGAACCAGCTGTAGGCAAGCGCACCCCTCGGCTTCATCATTTTGTTTATCTGCAAGGGAACCCTTGGGGGCAGGGCGCTGCCTGAGGCATGTGTCAGTGGGCTTTGTATACAGGAGCCCTCGGTTCCACTCATTAAATGCCTGGATGACAATATGAGACTGGGACAGGGCGACAATGACTTAAAGGGCCATATGGGGACATGGGAGCCAGCACTGCAAGAGGCGCTCCAAGACCGTGAGGCCACATGGCTGGGAGCTTGGTCCTCCATGTGAAAGCATGGCCTGTGGTTGTGTAGCAACAGCCCTGTGGGCAAGTTTCCACTTCAGTGAAAACATCCCCATGCGTCGTCATTTATTCATGATCTCTGCTGGCACCTTCGATAGGGACTCAAGGCCGCCCGGACCTCTCTGAGCTTGGCCTCTACTTATGGACCCCTATCACCTGGAGGCCTGGATAGGAAAGATGCCCCCCTGACCAGCCTTCCAGGTGCTCACCAGAGTGGGGCTGGCCAGCAGTGCTGTGCCTATCTGAGCCTCGCCCCCACCTCTCCTAAAGAGATGCTGACATTTCAGCTGGGCCAAGGCATGGCACTGAAGAAGGGAAGCAGCTGGTGAAACCATCCAAAGAACCCGAGCGCGCAGGGTGAGGACCCTCGGAGCCCTCCCTTTCCCACGCTGCGTCTCCCTTTGTAGATATCCCCCTTCTGTGATGGTTGAGCCACCTATCCTCCCCTCAATACTGTAAGCTCCATGGGGGCAGGAACCAGGCCCATCTGGTTCCTGATGAACCCAGCTCCCAGCACTGGGTGGCACATGGTGGATGTGGATAAGCGTCTGTGTGTAGAGTGAATGAAAAAAAATTTTTGAGACATAGTGTGTTGCCCAGGCTGGAGTGCAGTGGCACAATCTCAGCTCACGGCAACCTCTGCGTTGAAGTGATTCTCGTGCCTCATCCTTACAGACATGCACCACCACACTCAGCTAATTTTTGTATTTTTAGTAGAGATGGAGTTTTGCCATGTTGGCTAGGCTGTTCTTGAATTCCTGACCCTTGTGATCCACCTGCCTTGGCCTCCCAAAGTGATGGGATTACACTGCGCCTGGTGGAGAGCATTTTTGATGGGAAAGAGAGGAGCAAAGACATAGCTGGTGCCAGTGCACAAGCTGACCTGGACCAGGACTGAATCCTCCTCATTTTACAAAGGCCACCTGAAGCCCCGTGAGTGGTGATAGTGAGAATGGCTTCTCGCTGCCGGTAAGCCCCTCTCAAGCCACAGCTGTCCTCCCCTCTTACCCCTAGGAAATGGTTAAGTAAGTGCCATCCATCCCTCCTGGCCTACAGGAGGAACTTGTTTTCAGTGGTCAGGTAACTTGCCCAGGAACTATACTGCTGTGCCGGCAGGATCAGAATTCCAATTTTGAGTTTCCCCGAGTTTCCTGCCACCTGGCCCGTCAGGATCAGGGCTGGACGGAGGAGGAGGAGGCTGGCTGAAGTTTAGGTAGCCTGAGGACAAGGAGACCCGGGGAGGTGGTGACTTCCTCTGTTTCCCAACTGGGCAGACCACTGGTGGTGGCGGGCACAGGTGGAAGGGGACCAGGCTCGCCGAGCCACCCGAGCCTCAGCTTTCTGAACCAGGAAGCAGGGAACCTCGCCCACCACACGTCGGGATCCCTTCCTCTGAGCTGAGCTGGTTCCGGGCTGCTCTCCCAGGGAAATGGCTAGGCTGGGACAGAGCGGGAGGGAGGGGCCGCGCCGCGAGGATATACAGCTTCCCACTGCGTGCCCCGGCGCGGCTTCCCACCAATCGGGCCCGAGGCGGAGGCCGGTTGGCTCCTGGAGCGCCTGGCCTGCGGGGCGGGCGGGGTGGGGGGGGGCGGGGGAAGGGGGGTGAAGGGCGGGGCAGCGGGGGTGGGGCGACTGCCTGGAGGCCGAGCCCTCTCGGTCCCACCCCGCAGCAGCCCTACCAGGGGCGCCGCCCCAGCCCCTCCACCGCCGAGCCCCGTGCGGGTTGGGGACCCTCCACGTGACTCGGTGATGCAGAACGATTATGACCTTCAGCGTGTATCTGGGAACGCGAGGGTCCCAGCAACAGTGCGGGTTTGCGCCCGGCCCTGCCCGTGGGTGCAGGGACGTGTGGGTGTGTGGGCATGTGTGGGTGTGTTGGGGAGGGTGCCCAGCGACATGTGACAAAGACTCCTGTCTCTGGGAGATGGTGAAGAGGCCCGTGAGCAGGCGCTTTGTCTGGCTGTCTGCAGAGTGAGGTTCGCGACGCGGCGGCGGGCGCCCGTGCGGTGCAGGATGCCGGGGCGCCAGGGTGGCCGGGGGCGCGCGCGCCTGTGCCAGGGTGAGTGCGCTGCGGCAGCGCTGGGGGACAGCGCGGCGGGCCCGCGCCGGCCCGGGCCTCGGGCGTGACTGGGCGCCACCCGTGGACGCTGCAGCGGCTGCGTGTCCCCGTGACCTCGGGAGCCGGCCCGGGCCCGGGTGGATCCCCCTGCGCCCCTCCCTGTCCGCCCTCCACGTGCGTGTCCGCGGTGCGCGCGCCCGTCACCGCGCACCCGCTCGCCTGTCGCCGCCGCTGCCGCCGCCGCCACCGCGAACCGCGCCGGGAAAAGGTGCCGGGAACCAAGCGAGCCGGGGCCGCGGGCCCGAGCGCCATGGGCCCGAGGGTGGGCGGCGGGTGGCCGGTCATCCCCGGGCCTCGCCCCCGCGGGAGAGCGGCCTGGAGTCGGCGGGGGCCGGCCGGGCTCTCAGGGAGGCCGGCCCGCGCCCCCTGAGCTACGGACACCAGGTGAGGGGGCCGCTGGGCGCAGCGCGGGGACCAGCCTAGGAGGGGCCACGGTCTCCACAGGAGGTTCGGGGGGGCACCTTCTCTGGCGGGGGAGGGGATGGCACGGAGGGGGGAGGGGGTTGGCGATTCCTGGGGCCGCCTGGGAAAGGAAGTTCCGGGACCCTCCCTGCTCTCGGTCCTCCTCCGCTTCCTGCCTCATGCCTCACCTTGTCCCCAGTGCCTGGACTCCCCCTTCACTGTTTGGGAAATGTGACCTTTGCTCCTGGGGGGGCCTGGCCCTGCAGGCCCCAACCTTCCCTCATCCCTGGCGGCCCCTTTGGACCTCTCACCCAGCCCCTCTCCGGGCCAGGCTCACAGAAGCTGGCTCCTGGGACTGTCCTGGGCCCAAGTGGGCACCTGCACCAGCCCCACCTGTGCCTGGGCTGTGGCCTTTCCCTACAGGGTGCTCACCATGGCCCCGCCGCTCCTGCTGCTGCTGCTGGCCAGTGGAGCGGCCGCCTGCCCACTGCCCTGCGTCTGCCAGAACCTGTCTGAGTCGCTCAGCACCCTTTGTGCCCACCGAGGCCTGCTGTTTGTGCCACCCAACGTGGACCGGCGCACAGTGGAACTGCGGCTGGCAGACAACTTCATCCAGGCCCTGGGCCCCCCTGACTTCCGCAACATGACGGGGCTGGTGGACCTGACGCTGTCTCGCAATGCCATCACCCGCATTGGGGCCCGAGCTTTTGGGGACCTCGAGAGCTTGCGCTCCCTGCACCTGGACGGCAACAGGCTGGTGGAGCTGGGCACTGGCAGCCTTCGGGGCCCCGTCAACCTACAGCACCTCATCCTCAGTGGCAACCAGCTGGGCCGCATTGCGCCGGGGGCCTTTGACGACTTCCTGGAGAGCCTGGAGGACCTGGACCTGTCCTACAACAATCTCCGGCAGGTGCCCTGGGCCGGCATCGGCGCCATGCCCGCCCTGCACACCCTCAACCTGGATCATAACCTCATCGACGCACTGCCCCCAGGAGCCTTTGCTCAGCTTGGTCAGCTCTCCCGCCTGGACCTCACCTCCAATCGCCTGGCCACGCTGGCTCCGGACCCGCTCTTCTCTCGTGGGCGTGACGCCGAGGCCTCGCCCACCCCCCTGGTGCTGAGCTTCAGCGGGAACCCCCTGCATTGCAACTGCGAACTGCTGTGGCTGCGGCGGCTGGCACGGCCAGACGACCTGGAGACCTGCGCCTCCCCACCTGGCCTGGCCGGCCGCTACTTCTGGGCAGTGCCTGAGGGCGAGTTCTCCTGTGAGCCACCCCTCATTGCCCGCCACACGCAGCGCCTCTGGGTGCTGGAAGGCCAGCGGGCCATGCTGCGGTGCCGGGCCCTGGGTGACCCTGCGCCCACCATGCACTGGGTCGGTCCTGACGATCGGTTGGTTGGCAATTCCTCCCGAGCTCGGGCTTTCCCCAATGGGACCTTGGAGATTGGGGTGACAGGAGCTGGGGACGCCGGGGGCTACACCTGCATTGCCACCAACCCTGCTGGTGAAGCCACAGCCCGAGTAGAGCTGCGGGTGCTGGCCTTGCCCCATGGTGGGAACACCAGTGCTGAGGGGGGCCGCCCCGGGCCCTCGGACATCGCTGCCTCAGCTCGCACTGCTGCCGAGGGTGAGGGGACGCTGGAGTCGGAGCCAGCCGTGCAGGTGACAGAGGTGACTGCCACCTCAGGGCTGGTGAGCTGGGGTCCCGGGCGGCCAGCCGACCCCGTGTGGATGTTCCAAATCCAGTACAACAGCAGTGAGGATGAGACCCTTATCTACCGGTGAGGACCACGCCCCACACCCAGCTGCACTCCCAGAGCCCTCCCTCTGCCCTCTGCTCCCCTCCTCTCTCTGTGGCTGACATCCCCTCCCCCATGTGGCTGCTAGACTCTTGGAGCAGTGGCCTGGCCTGACTGCCTGAGGAGGCTGGGGCTCAAGGGGCAGCAGGAGGACCCCACCCCATGAGATGTCCCAGGTGTCACTAAGCTGTGTGGGCCTCCTCGGCAGCAAGTGGTGGGTGGGTGTGTCTGAAGCACATGGCCGGCGCCTGCAAGCATTATTTTTGCGTCTGCTGTGCCATCCCCCACCCCATCCTCCTTGTTTGCCTGGGTCCTATTTCTCAGGACTTGCACTGTCTCTTGGCCACTCTCATGCCTGTTGCCTTCCTGAGTGAACACAAGAGCCAGAGTGGTTTGGGGGGAGGGGCTGTTTGGAGCTGAGAGCACAGGATGGGGAGATGAGGATGGGGCTAGACCCCAGCTCTGGGCTCTGACCACCTGCCCTTGCCCGCAGGATCGTCCCAGCCTCCAGCCACCACTTCCTGCTGAAGCACCTGGTCCCTGGCGCTGACTATGACCTCTGCCTGCTGGCCTTGTCACCAGCCGCTGGGCCCTCCGACCTCACGGCCACCAGGCTGCTGGGCTGTGCCCACTTCTCCACGCTGCCCGCCACGCCCCTGTGCCACGCCCTGCAGGCCCACGTGCTGGGCGGGACCCTGACTGTGGCCGTGGGGGGTGTGCTGGTGGCTGCCTTACTGGTCTTCACTGTGGCCTTGCTGGTTCGGGGCCGGGGGGCTGGGAATGGCCGCCTCCCCCTCAAGCTCAGCCATGTCCAGTCCCAGACCAATGGAGGCCCCAGCCCCACGCCCAAGGCCCACCCACCACGGAGCCCCCCGCCCCGGCCCCAGCGCAGCTGCTCCCTGGACCTGGGAGACACCGGCGGGTGCTACGGTTATGCCAGGCGCCTGGGAGGAGCCTGGGCCCGACGGAGCCACTCTGTGCACGGGGGGCTGCTCGGGGCAGGGTGCCGGGGGATGGGGGGCAGCGCCGAGCGGCTAGAAGAGAGTGTGGTGTGATGGAGGGGGGGCAGCTTCCCTTATGCTCCAAGGGACCAGCTTCGTGGGGCAGAGGGCCCGGGGCAGCCACCTGGCCTGGGGGTCCCTCCCTGGTTTTTATTCTCGGTACCTCAGGCTCCCCTGTGTATATGGTGGGACAGGGAGCCCTTTCCTTGGTTCTGGCCTCCAGACCAGGGTAAGGGGCAGGTCCCTCCATCAGGTGCTCACAGCCACCAAGGCAGGGGCTGCAGCCACCAAGCGGGAGTCTTGTTTTTATTTATAATAAAATTGTTGAGGACACCTCAGTGCTAGTCTCTGGTCTTGTCATGGGGGCCAGTAGTGGCACACAGACAAGGGCGGCGGGCAGTCCCAGCAGCCTGGGGCCTCCCGGGCGCCTGTCCTTGGGGGCAGCCCCAGGCAGCAAACACTGTGCCAGGTGTCTTCTGACCTGCGGGACCATGGGCTTGGGCAGGCTGCCTCCCCTCGCCCGAAAGTGCAGTTAATGCCCCTTCCTGGTGGGTGGTGGCAGGGCGCGGGGGTCCCGTGTAAAGCCTGGGTAGTAGTGCGAGCACCTTCCCCATGGCGCTGTAGGGTGGCCACAGGACTGGACTGAGTGACGGGGCGGGTGGGAGGCGGTGCGGCCCTTCTGGGAAAGGGGACCTGGGTTGAGCAGAATTCAGTGAAAAGTTCTCATGGCTCTGGTGCTGACAGCCATGTCTACCACCTCCCATGGGGTCCTGTGGACTAGTAAAACGCCACCCCAAAGGAACCAGAAGGGCAGGGAACCCCGCTCCTGGCTCAGCTGTGCTCTGGGCCTTCCTGGGAAGGTGGCCTTTGCCCTCCCTTGTGGCAGGGAGGTAGCCCGGTGGGCACACAAGCCCTGCTCTGCTTCCTCTGCTGGGACCCCTGGCCAGGCCCGGCAGCCTCTGACCTGGCATAGCCCCTGCAGCCTCCTGAACTATCTGCTTCTAGGCACTGGTGGGGGGCGTGGGCACACGTGGTTCTCGGCCCTGCAGAGGGTCAGACTCCCCAGGTACTGTCTTAAAACTCAGAAGGTGGCACTGACACCCCAGGCCACAGCAAACGCGCTGCACAGACACCCTGGTGTTTTCTGTGTGAGGCCAAGGCCCGCTGCTGGGCACCCGAGGTGAGGCAGGCGCTCTAAGGTGCGAGTGTTGATGTGTGCACGGGCCTGGCTCACACGTGTGTGCCTGCCCTCCCAGCCCCAGAATCCGCAGCTGGAGGTGGCCTTCAAGAGCCTGGTTTAGAGGAATGGGAGCAAGGTCTCTACCGAGAAGGGTGTGGGGAGTGAATGCCATGGAGGACTGGGCGGGAGCCCGGGGAAGGGTGGGCATGTGGGACGGCGAAGGGACAGGACCGCTAGGGCTGCCATGCCAGGCACTGGCATGAGGCTTAGGGTGTGGCGAGAGCCAGCGGCCTGGTCCTGCTGCGCACTTGAGGAGGACATGGCACCTCCAGATCACAGACACTTGTCCTGCTGCTGGCCCCGAGGTCACAGGCCCTGGTGCCCCTTTCTCCACCTTGGGTGGAGGGCGTGGGCGGTCTAAGGAGGAGGGCCTTCCAGGGTGCAGTGCAGGTGCAAGGTCCTATGGCCCAGGGGACCACCTTGGTCCACAAGAAGCTGCTGAGGGTGAGGAGGGAGCAGAGGGACTGAGGCCCAATCCCAGGAGCCAGCCAGGACCACATAGCAATGGGCAGGGGCAGGCGATGGGGATGGCCTGGGTCACCCGAGCATGGCCATGCAGCCCCTCAACACCAAAGCAGCCGCAGGACCTCCTGCCAGGACACCAAGCGCTGCAGCAAGGTGCGGGCGGAGCATGTGATGTGGACAGCCGATGTCGCAACACACCTCTGCCCATGTGCACGACGCGGACCCCCAACAGGGAGGCTAAGAGGGTCCCCATGGAAGAGTACACACCCCCTGGCCTCTGGGAAGCACACTGCTCCCTCTTGAGGTGGGAAACAGGCCAGCCACACACACAGACACAGGCCTAGAAGCCTCCAGGGATGCCTGGGACCGAGCAGCCATGTGGACGGGTAAGCGGAGCGACCGCAGGAACCTGAGGGGACAGCGCGGCCCCCATATCACCCTCCCCACCCCAACCAGCTGCGCCTCAACGACAGGCAGGTCAGGGCTGAAGAAGCTGCAAGGGCACAAGGCCAGGGTGGAGGAGCCGACGCTGACACCCAGCACAGCCCACCCTGTGGGGATCCCCAAGAAGAAGATGGGGTGGTAACTCCCACAGGGGTTGAGGGCCAGAGCCCCTGTCCTCCAGCTCTTCTTGCCCTGCCATTCTGAGGGTGGCACCCACGGGACACGTGGGCAGGTGCTGGCTTCAAAGGCCGAGGCGGTATTTCTTGGCTGTGAATTCCTCTCTAGCTACAGATGCCGGTAACAGAGCTCATCAAAGGGCTCTTTGGATCCTAAATACCCATTTAGGGTCCTCCTGCCACATGGGGCACCCCCGATAGCCACCCAAGACAAGCTGAGCTGCGAGCCCAACAAGGGTAGGGCCCCTCGCCTCCCAAGCCTCTAGCCCATCCCTCCAGCTGCACCCCCTGCCTTTGGCTTCCCCTGAAGCATCCGAAACTGTGTGCACCAGGCCAGGTGAGGAAGAGGGGCCTGGCTGGGGCCTGACTGTAGCAAAGTGACCGCATCTACATGGGACTTGGGCTCTTGCCCAAGGAGGGGATCCACATTTTCCAGAAATTAAGAATTAGCTAGGAGGCCAGGCACAATGGCTCACACCTGTAATCCCAGCACTCTGGGAGGTCGAGGCGGGCAAATCACCTGAGGTCAGGAGTTCAAGACCAGCCTGGCCAACATGATAAAATTCCATCTCTACTAAAAATACAAAAATTAGTTGGGCATGGTGTAGCATGCTTGTAATTCCAGCTACTCGGCAGGCTGACGCAGGATAATTGCTTTAACCTAGGAGGCAGAGGTTGCAGTGAGCCAAGATCACGCCACTGCATTCTAGCCTGGGCAACAGAGCGAGACTCCATCTCCCGCCCCAGAAAAAAGAATTATTTGCAGAACTTGTTCAAAACACAGGTTCTGGGTTCTCGACCCAAACCTGTGGGATTAGGATTTTCAGAAGGGAGGCCTGATAATATTTCACATACATTCCAGGTGATTCTCACCCCAGAGGGGCAGGAAACAGTGGGTCTCCCTGGAACAAGACTAGACACGATGTGCCTGAGGAAGCGCTCTGGCCAGGCCATTCCCAGGGACACCTGCAGAGTCTGAAAACCACTGAGTCCGGTGTGCAGCTGCGGCCGAGGAGAGCCGCTGACCTTGACCAATCAGTCAGGGGCAAGGCTGGGGTGGGGCCATATGCCAGGCTCTTGGCAGGGAGGTGAACGGCTGAGGGATGCCCCAAAGGCTGGGAGCAAAGGCGGGGGGCTGCAGCCTCTCACCTTCACACCTCGGACGCGGAACTCTGCCAGGGCTCTGCTCATCTTAGTCGCAGCTGTGGGGTGGTCTTTGCCATGGGCAATGACTTTGACCAGCAGGGAGTCATAGTGGGGCGAGATGACGGCTCCTTGGAAGGCCGAAGCGTTATCCAGGCGGATGCCCATGCCCTCTCCGCTGCGGAACACCTGTGGCGAGGGTGAGAAGTGAGGACCTGGGCCAGAAACCGCAGGAAAAAGGGGCCCCCACCTGAGGCTGGCCAGGTGTGCGCCAGCAGCTGCTGAGAGCCAAGCGTGGGCTGCCCAAAGGTGAATTCCAGCTCTGGCTGGTCAGGTTTTGCTCTGTTTCTGCCACCAAACCCAGGAGTGTGGCCCCTTCTCTATGTCCCACATAGTCACTGCCTCCTGCTCTGTGTGAGGAGCTGGGAGGGGCAGAGGAGGCAAGGATGCCTGCCAGAGAGTGGGAGAGGGGTCTGGGCAGGCAGGGGCCAGCCCTGCCTCTGTTCCCATGGACCTGCTGGCCCTGTCTGAGCAACCCTCTTGCCTTTCAGACTCATCCATGTGTCCATGCATTCATTCCACGACATGGATTGAGGTCGGCTGACCCAGCCCCTAAAGGGCCTCTCTACGGGGCTCCCAGACAGTGAGGGGACGTGCAGGCGGGCAACAGGGCCTCCAGAGGACAATGTGCGAGGCAAGAGGCGAGGCCGACCGGGGGCTTGTGTTTGTTTTTAACACAGGGTGGTGGGGAGGGCCTCAACATCCACCCACGCTCCCTTCCTTCCTTCCCTTTCCTTCCAGAAGGGCGGGAGAGGAAGCAGTGAGTAGGAAGTAGGAGAGGAAACGAAGGGAAAGAGCCGGAGGCAGGAGGGCACCTGCCCAGGGCTCCACACCCAGCAGGGAATCAAACTAAGGGCAAGGAGAGGACAGCAGGGCAGTGGGACAGGGCCAGGGACAGGCAGCGACAGGAGGGAGGGGCAACGGAGAGGAGGAGACAGAGGTACTGACACTCACACCTGCAGGTGGCTCAAGCCGGCCCAAGTGAGCTCCTGCAGATAAAGTCTCCCCAGAGTTGGGGGACCCGTCAGGCCCAGGTAAGGAAGAAGGGGCGTGCAAGGGACCTCCCAGAGGGGCTTGGGACACCCACGGCACATTTCCGCTTCGCAGGGGCAGAGGTCTGTGTTCGATAAAAAGGAACTTAATAAAATATTTAAGGGTGAACACTCAGCTGAGAGCAGGAACTGTCAGCTAAAAATACTCTGTGGTGAGGCAGGCTCTGAAGAGCCAGGCCTTGGAAGTAGGAATGCAGGGAGGCAGGGAGGCAGGGGCCTCCGGGCAACACTCGGCCTGGGGCTGGCCCACCTACAGACTCTGATCCCTCCAGAAACAGAACGCAGGTGGGCCAGCTCCCTGCTGAAGGCACAAGCCCTGCTGCTTCCAGATCCAGAGAACTCTGGTTTCTGTCCCCAGGCGCCCCAGCCTCTCTGGTCTCAAAGGCCCAGAGCTGCCTGTGTTCATCCTTGTCTCCTTGCCGCCCCCACACAAGCCGGGGCCCTCTGCCCTGGACTCTGGAGCAGAACTGGAGCTCCATCAGTGTCCTCCCTCCTTGGGGGCTCAGGCCCCTAGATGGGGAGCAAGATCCCAGCAGAGCTGGCACAGTGCCAGCAGCATGTCCAGGGCTGGGAGCAGGCATTGTGCAAACCACAGGGCTCCTGCCCACAGCTGGGCCAGAGGCAGGGAAGATGGGTTTCAGAGGCCAATGGCTGGGCCCTGGTGCTCAGAGGAGGGAAGGTATAGGAAGCCCCCCGTGGAAAAGGCTCGAGGCTCACTGTGCTGGGGAGCCTGGCCCGGGCCACCCTCAGCGCCCCCC